AATAAACAAAATAAAAATAAAAAACAACAACTTTGCCCTTAATATTAAGTGTGGTTCAGAGAAATATGACTTTGTTTCCACGCTAGTAAAGGTTTAAAGAATGTTAAAGAGGATCGATTTTTTTTTATGCCAGCCCCCTTGTGACCATTAGCAGTAATGCAGCAAATACTTTACTCTTATTTTTGGTGTTTTCAAATAGACTCAAACATTGTTTCCCAAACATTTTTGTCTGGGTACCCATATTTTAAAAGTCACAAAACTTCACGACCCAAGTCAATAGACATTATTCGTAAACACCTGGGAAACATGATGCGAGACGACCCCCAAAAAAGTGCTTTGTGACCCACCTGAGAGTCGCGACCCAGTCTTTGAGAAAACAATGGACTAAAAGGGAAGAACAAAGACAGTCAGTACCTGAGCCACGACACCTTAAACATAAACAAACAGATAAATAAATCAAACAATTTAATGGTGAATCTCTTAACGTGCCGTGACATCGTCATTTTAGAGAAGCAATCTAACGTATAAATAAACACTGATTAGTCAGGTTAATGACGAGCAGACCTATATAGACACGTGAGTCATATTTGTCCTCTCCAGGGAGTGAACTGTCAGCGTGACACACACTGTTGGATGGTGACATATTCCGCGGCTGATTTACTGACCTGTTTAACTCTGGCATGTCTGCGGCCCTCTCAGATGTTTCACAGTTTTAATTAGTATAATCAGCGCTCTTGAAAAAGACCACAGCGTTGTTTAATGGGTCATGTTTGTCAAGATGTCCAGAATTATAACACAAAAGACGCACAATTTATTCAGGGGAACAGTCTTGGGTCTGGCAGTAGATAATTAGGACTGATTCATCTGAAAGCCAAAATTGAACCTCCGTGGTGTGAGGAAACGAGTTTGACTGTTTGCAGTACTGCAGTGGTAATGTGGGAACACGTTACCACTGCAGTGACAGCTACACAAATACAGACAGCTTCTGTTTTAACAAGAAAAAAACCCTGCAAATTATGACATGACACAAGGAACAGCAATAAATCTACCCAAATTTGAACGCTCTGAAAACACTTCTTCATACTACGGGATGTGGTCCTGGGTGCATCAAATGTTGACCCACAGGTGGGTTTCTGAATTAGACAGCACTTACAAAAACAATGTATTCAATAAGCCAAGCTTCCAGGATCATGACCTTTGACCTTATACTATTAAGTTAAAAATAGATCCCTTAATGGCACAGAACAGGCAATGGTTGACGTTCGATGTTGTTTAGAAAGAGTTTCTGTTTTTGCTTTAGATACTCGACAAATCTGGGTGGCAACCAAAAGTCTCTTGATTATTTGAGAGCCACTCAGTTTCATTAAACTGTGAGAAATGGGTCAAGTTTCAAATTTCAATGCTTTTTTTACTTTACTTTACTTTAATTAAAAACCACGTTGAATGTGCGTTCCGTACATACACCCCAGTTTAATTGTCTCAGAGTCAGCGATTGAATTGGAGAGCATCCGTTTTATCATTTGGCACAACTTAACGAGCTAAAAGAAGGTTTAATTAATTTTTTCTTCTTTGCTATCGTGAAATAAAAACATTACCATTGTGCATGAATGTGCTGAGCGGGACATAAACCATATGCTGCATGTTATCTGAACCTTATATTAACCAAGTTAATGAATGTTTCTTCTTTCTTCGTGGAGTCCCTTACAGCCTCATCAGAGGGGGGGGGGTGGTTTCATTCTGATTCATCACAAATGCTCATGATTATTTGAGATGAATCAAAACTAGAGAAGGTGGCCAGGGTTTCTTTTTAGACTTCAGTGGAGCTGTTGTCTTCATCAATATTATTCGGTCTATAATGTGGCAGACATCAAATGTATCAAGGTTTAATTTTATTCTTGAATAATAATAATAATAATAATAATAATAATAATAATTTTATCTATATATATTTAGTTCATCATTCCACAGCCGACTAACACTAATCCAACCTGCCAGTCGAAATTTGAATCTAATTTTGGTCCTTGAGCCAAAACCTTTGCCCGACCCTGGTATATGTCTATAAAATTAAGTATTAATAACCCAATAATTTTAACATTTACACAACCTTCCTCGTTGTGTTTTTGGTCTGGTGGTATTCTGGAGTACTCCTGTCCCTACAGCTCTGTTGAGTATAGAGAATATAAGTATAAGAATCAGGGCACACAGGCCCAATGAGCAGGGAACCAATTTGTTCCCAAACCCCAAGGAACTCTCAAAACTCCCAAGGAATTTCCTCCATTCCAACTCCTTAAAACCTTGTCTCAACGCAAACAATGGCAAAGCTTTGTAAAAGTGAGTCTAAACCCTCTGCCAAGCATAAATTATCATTTGAATGACAATAGAGCACTTTGAAGTGCTTAAATGATTTCGGTGCTCTATCGGTCTGCGCCTTGTAACAGTGGGCGATCTTTACACCAGAGGGACGACCTGCTCTCTTATCTCACACTGGCTCCTCAGAGTTTACTTTAGCTGGAAACTGTTCATCCATGACAGCAACAACTTGTTTCCTTTACTCCGAGGCTGTTTTAGTCGTGTCTGATTAGATATACAGTCTAAAAGAACAATGTTGAAAGTCAAGTTAGAGTTAGCAGAGATTAGTTACAGTGAGTATGCTCCCAATAGTTGTTGGACAATTACAGTCAGTCAAAAATAAAAACCCTTGCCATTGTCAAATTAGAGAAGTGTTAGATAAAGGTGGCTCAAAGTTAGCCAAACTGCTCCAAAGTTAGTTAATGTAAAACGTTTAGTGTTCGGTGAGAAGTGTAAAACTTAACATTAGCCAAGTTTAGCAACACATAAAAGAAATATTTTGAAAAATAGCCCTACATCAGTCTGGAATTGTCCAAAGAATTAAGCATAAAACAAGCTAAACATTAGCATAACAAACAAAATGCTAACCAAGAACAACATATATAAAACCATATTATTATTCTGTATTTAACTCCTGCATGAACATGGAGCAGTAGACTTCGTTTTGTTTTGGTTGTATCTTAGCACACGACAGTCCTACAGAGACTGGGATTCGAGTGGGAATCCTCTTTAGAAGTGTATCTTCTTGAATAAACCTTAACAAAATCCTAATTGGGTTACGATTTTTAAAATCATTTTGTTGTATAGAGTTTATTCTGATAAAACCCAGATATATTGGTTTGTTAAAATCCTGTTATGTTTATCAGAATCTGACCCGTGGGCCAGTATCATACTCTAAGCAGAAGGCTACAACATTTCTCCTCTGTGGGGTTGTGTGGCCCGTTGCTCCCTCGTTCCTCTCCACACACTGATAACTGCCACAATGAAATTTGCCATTAGGAGAGAAGAGAATGAAAAGGACCTCGGTCATGTGTATAGAAAAAGGCTGAATGCTATCAAACTGGAATTCAATCACTGAATTATACCCTCACTGTGTGTGTGTGTGTGTGTGTGTCTGAGAGAGAGAGAGAGAAAGAGTAGCTCACACCATATTCATTTCAAAAAGGCTTCTTTTTAATTAGTTCTCATAAGTTGAAAAAATTCATGAATTTGTCTGCAGCTCCTGCTGCCATTGTAGGGAGTGACCTGGGGCTGGTGTTAGCTTTAAAGAAGAACTGCCCCCTCGCCCACAACAGAAAATGAAGAGAAAAAAACGTGTTTGTGTCAATAGACAGTATGTATTTACTTGGTGAATGAATGTGAAAGGATGCAGAGCTGAGGCTGGCTCTGCCAAAGGGGACCTCTCACCATCGACTCCAGTCTTATTAAACTGATTACCAACTCCAGCTAATTAATCAGAGACAGTGCTCTTTCTTCTCATGCAGGGAGGGAGTTTGCTTCTCACCACCTCCCCCTCTCATCTGCTCCTCTCCCCTCTCCCCTCTCCCCGTCTCCCTTTTCTTTGCCCCTGCTTTGATTGAAGTAGGGGAATGGTAATTTTCATGCATCATCTGGGCCAGCAGGATGGAAGGACAAGTAGTAATTACCTTAAACAAACAAGGCGGAGATTGGTGGAGAAGCTACCTCTTTATTTAAGCTCAAGAAATAAGAAAACAGACTGAGAGCATAATGGTTTCAAAACACATTCTGTAGGCTTTTTGATTCACTTTGAGGGATTTGGTCTTCATCTCAGATGAGGATTAAAGCAAAACGTGTTAAGCACGGACAAATACTGTGTATCGCTGCCATTTTTATTCACACGATTGTGCACAGATGGCTTTAACAATACAGTGTTCAACTGTAAATCATTTGTTCACCTAGTGTAGGTGATCACCACAGCCATGTTGAAAGGGGGTTTATGAAGTCTAGACTGTGGTTGAGGAGACAAGTCAGCTTGACTGGAGTGGCTAGTGCTTTTGTTTTCAAAAATAACACAGGTTCACTGATTTGCTTCATAATATAAATATTTATATATACACACATACATATATACATATATATGTTCTGTATATGTATACATGTGTATGTGTAATAATAATAATAGAATAGAATAATTATATAAATATATATACATTAGAGTGATCAGTTGCATTATTATTATAAGCACACAATTAAAAGCATTGTAAATATATTTAGGAGCCATACTGTATTATGAAATGATACTGTTCAAATAATAAAAACATTTTTTTAAATGTTTTAATCCAGACAGTGACGCCCACCGAGGCTGATTATAAATGGAATAAACAGTCTGATCTGTCTGTATGACGCTTGTGCTGTTGAGAATCTCAGATCCTCTCCGTCTCTTCTGGCTCGCTCTACCCTCTGTTGCTTTTGTCTTAGCCTGATGTGTTTGCCTCCTCCTCTGGAGAGGCTAATACTGGCCTCTTTTTTCTCTTCTTCATCACAATCTCTGCAAATGCCAAGTGTAACTGCTGCCCCTGTTGCTCCTAATTACTGGCTGATTAAAGAGTGAAATAAGGGATTCTAATGGTGAT